TTAACACTTAGTCGAAGTTGTTCATTACCAAATGAACGTCATGTCTGGTTTAATAGTTACTGTTTCGCATCAATTCTATTTAAAGAGATTCAGGCTAATGTTAATCTTGGAAATGCATCTTGTTATTCTTGCTTTAACTTGTGCACTATTGCTTACACTTGGCTTACACTGTTTGTAAGGTAGCGGACCGAGACCCATCTTTTCAGTGGTTTCAATCTGCTTGTGCGCACCAGGGTTCGAATGGTAGCGTTTACACTTATTCAAATGAACCATGCTAACAGAGCCATCACAACAGGATTCGTTTTAATTGAACTAAACATGCCAAGTATTAACCAAACGACAACCTTCTGGTCTCTCTCTTGAATCCAACATGGAAGCGACTTAAACAGCAATTCATCGACTGGCCACTAGAGGCAGGCTCCAAAAGAGAGTTAAAATGCCCAACTTTACAGCGGGAAAAATGTTTACAGCCTGGTACAAAAAGTGGTTTTGGTCTAGGTAATGTTGTTCTTCACCACAACTGTGAGTGGATTTTTTATTTACTTGTATAACTTTAAATTCTATTAAGCTTTAAAGTTCTGCATAATTAAGGGCGTGGCCACTTGAGTGACAGGTGGATTGCCGCTGCTGTCACTACTAGCCGTTTGTCAGCTGTCTGTTAAGGCCAATTTATACTTCTGCGTAGGGTGCGCGCAGTAGGTACGGCGTAGCTGTATACGTATACTGCCAAGATGGCAACGGCCGGCTCCGGCCACTTTGGGCTTCAAAAATGCTCTTCAGAAACCTACGGGTGACGTCACGGACACTACGTCCATTTTTTTACAGTCTATGGTGTGAACACACCCTAAATGTATCGTATTCTTTTTTTTAGTCCTGACCAAAATAACCAAACTACAAGTGTGAACACACCCTTAAACCAGCTAAGACCAACAAACATGCCAACGATACATCTCTGTGTGTGGTTACTGAGTGTAGATCTGAGGGAGGTCAAAGCAGGCTCATGGTACGTGCAGAAGGAAATGACAGTGTCTCTGGAGACGGGCTTTAATGGTACATCAGTCTGTCTGTGGGAGAACAGAGAGGCACAGCTGTTGCATACACACTCCAATACACACTCCACGGGAAGCTGAACCTGTGGTTTCATAACTCATGGGCTTTTCGAGAGGAACGCGTGCTCTTTAAACATCTGTCACATTTCAAAGAAGGACGGCAATCCAAACACACACTTTCAACCTATCTGTGAAATGTAATAGTGTTCAGCAAACAGTCACTGCCTCTGATCTGTGTTTTAGAGTCTCTCTGTGGTGGTGCAGCAATTCTAGGCCGTCTGACCTTCGCGCAGATTGTTATTAGCCGAGTCATTAGTACATGCCGCTGCAAGTTCTCTTTATATGCAAACCATCAGGGGATCGATTTCCATGCCAGCTGATTAACCCATGGGATGAGTGTGGTTGCCATAGAGACACAAAGTCAGTTGATCAAATGTGGCCATTTTAATTGGAAGGGCACTCTGGCTCGCGCTCGACAACGAGCTCGCTGATTGGATAGTCGGTTGCTGTAAGGCACAGATGACAAAGCATTGACCCAAGGAAATTGCTTCCTGTTCATCTGCCCTCAAGACTGGTCTTAATGAAACCATGCAGTTCATTAGCTGTCTGTAAAGGGTATAATTTCATCATCCTTGAGTCATAGGAATATGTGAATACAGTGAGGATCAGATTTATTTTTCAAAACAGGCTGTCCTTTTCGCTCATCCCTCTGTTTTCACCCAGACACATGGCCTTGTTGCATCCAGACTCAAGATGGCCAGTGTTCTCTCCTTCTCTCACTATGAATTGGCCTCAGTCTGGTGATGAGGAGGGGGTTGGGCGGACAACTGTGTCCTGACTGTTGTCATATTGGTCATTTTGTGAAACTGAGGATGTTGCAGCAGTATGTTGTTGCACATAAGCTGCAGTGTTGCGTTTGAAAAGGAGCTGTGTTGGGTCTTAAAGGGCTAGTTAAGCCAAAATGTAACAGTGTGATCATAATAACCCCTCATGCCATTCCAGACCGGTTTTATTTTTTATTTCAATTTTCTGTTCAGTTATAATAAATAAGGACTGGAGCTTTCAAGCTTCAAAAAGGATAAAAACGTAGTCTAAAATACTGTTCAAAAGGTTGGGGTCAAAATGCTCATAACGGCTGCATTTATTTGATCAAAAATATAGCAATAATGTAAAATATTACTAAAATTCATGTATATTTTAAAATGTCATTCAAATTACATTTTTTTGAATAGCAAGTTCAAAAGAGAAGTAGAAATGAATTTTTTGAAATAGAAATCTTTTGTATGTCTTTTGAACAATTTACTGTGTCCTTGCTGAATAAAAGTGTTAATCTCAATGCATTCTTATTAAATAAAAGCTCTAATCACTGAGACTCGATTTGTGAACTGGATCACGCAATTCATTGAAAAGATTTTATTCAAAAGAACTTGCCACTGCTTTCAGAAATTCATGACTGATTGTCAAGATTTTCAGTGAACAGTGGTCTGTTCCTTACATGAAAAACTTGAAATGTATTCACAAGTATTGGATTCCTCATTCACTTTCATTATATAGAAATAAAGGCTATAAATCACCTTATGTGTTTCAAAGAAAGCCATATGTGTCTGGAATGACATAAAGGTGAGTAAAGATGACACAATTCTTGTTTTGGGTGAACTCTTCTTCCTTTAAATCACTTAAAAGTGCCCTGAAGCAGACTGAGCTTCCTGTCACAGCGAGTGCAATGTAACGACAGACGACATGAACCCTGCGTCCAGCAGAGAGCCAGAATGCGACATATGTCGAATGTGTCATTCTCCTCTAACATGGCCAGAGAGAAGCTGTGAAACCGTTGGTGCTTTATAAGTTAATAGCATCTTGATTGACACCTATGGAAACTGTATTATTCTCACCTCCTCCTGCTGCAAATATTTCGTCATTTTATGATACACAGAATGCAGACAATTTCCATTAGGGGTTACACATGCTGCAATGTTCTTTTTTTAGAGCGAGCTCCTTCCTCTGCTGGAGATGAGTTATTATCAAAGCTTCTGTCAGCAGAAAAACTTATAATAACAGAGCATCCACAAAATTCCTTATTGCATTACTCCTGCTCCAGTGCAATTATTTATTCAAGAGCTGCCGCTGGCGTTCGCATGAGAATCTTTTACCGAATGCGTTCTCAGCAGCAATCCAGCTGTGCTTTTACACAAAATCCAGCCCTCTCTATGACCCCTGGGGAGGAAAGTCTGTGCTGTATAACTATAAAGTAGCTATATATGCCAGAATATCTATCTATAGGCAGGTTCAGTATTTGTCACTTTTTTCCAATTCTAAATTTCGGCAGCCAGATGCGTGCATATTTTCGAATCCATTCTGCCGATTTTCTGATATTTAGAGGAATATAAGTAACCTGGTCCCATTGACTTCTATAGTAGGAAAAAAATATATACTATGGAAGTCAATGGGACCAGAAACTGTCTGGTTACTGATATTCTTCTAAATATCAGAAAATCATCTGAATGGATTCGAAAATGGTAAAACCCAACTGTTTAACTCTGGCCGAGTTGTAAAATGAGCCTATTTCCAAAAAAAAAGAAAAAAAGTGGAGTATCCCTTTAAAGTGATTCTGGAACACAGTTGCTCACCTTGGTCTGGGACTACAGCCTTTCCAAACACATTCCCCTATTAAATGGCTTTTCCAGTACCTTATTTTATATGGCATGAAGCACACAATCCTAACATTCCATGCAAATAACTTTTCTAATAGTTCAGCGAGACTGGACCCTGTATTTCATAATATTACTGGTTCTTGATTTAGGAGGGTTATATATTTGAATGGTCGATGATGGACAAAGAAAATGGGAACCAAAATCCCATAGACAAAATTGTAGAGACTTTGGGATGGGTACTTTGGACTTGGGCTAGTTAGCAACCACCAAAAAGCAGCACAAACATGACTTTTAAAATCCGAACAGATTTGAAAATACTATAGGCATCATGCACTTGCCGAGTTTGAAAAGATACAGTGGAACGGAAACCCGTCTGTCTTGAAAAGACACTAAATGACTGTGCACACACTAATAGATTTTCCAGTCATTACAACACAACAGACTCATGTCTTGTTGCTTTTAGACTGTGTTCTAATTGTCTCAAACTTTAAAGATCAAACTTTGAAGCTAAAAAGCATCACCCATCACGATTTTCTGTGAAATCTGTCCACTTTCGGCAACTATTGTTAAGACCCTAGTTCGGGGGGAATTCTGGGCAACAGTAATATAGAGCATTCCAGCCTTTAGCAACCACATAACAACAGGCTAAAAACCACTTAGAACACTTTAGCAAGTGCATAACAACATTAAGACAATTGCAGTACGTGACAGTGACATCAAACTCTCGTTTTATGATTTCCATGTATCTTCATTTGCATGTTATACTCCCTGATATGGCATTAAATACATTCATTAGAGCAAATCATTGCAAAATATCTTCAGATCATGGTTGCTATAGTTACTCTGGAGCATGTTTTTGAGGATCAAGAAAAGGTTCTGGTGGATGTTCTTCTTGTTCTCGCATGCATTTTAGCCGACGTTTGATATGTGCTCATGCTGTGAGACTCTCAGTACTCATGCTGTGAGACTCAATGATCCATAGACTCCAATAGACCCTGAATGCAGAATTTATCATTGCATACAAGAGTCACTTTGTCTTGCTATTTTTTTTTTTCATAATATGATGCTTTAGGTAACAGATTGTGATTTAGAGTCATTTGTAAGTTTGACTATGAGTATCTGATTATTCAAGATTGCACATCAAGATGTTCTCCACAATGTGTTCTCTAGTGAAAACAATACCAAAATGTAGTTAAAATATATATTAGTATATTTATTTTTCAGTAGGTTGTCTGGTACTACAGTATATGCAGAGCTCCTTTCCTGAATGTAATCGTCTTCTCTCTCTGTTTCCCTGCAGGCAACAATCACTGGAGCCAAACATATCTTCAGGTAGGACCCGCTTGTCTTTTCTTATGTACTGAGAACTGTGCAAGGCTTGGTTTGTTTTTACAGATTTTTGGGAAATGTTTTTTTTTTTCTCCAAATGTATTTATGTAGGCCATGCAAGGTTTTTATGGTAGTTATATTTTAAAAAGATACGTTACGAAAGCTGTCTTAGGATATCCTCTCTCTTTTTTTTTATCTCACACAGACAAATCAGAAAAAAACGTACAAAAGCTGTCACTGGGGCTGTACCTTTTAAAAAAGGTTAAGTGTGCATTTAAGTGTACCAACTTTTGTACCCAAAGGCTGCATATTGGTACCTTAGTGATACATTAGCATATAAGTGGTATATTAGGCTAGCACATATTAGGACCTAAAATGTACATATTAGCACCTGAAATGTACATATTAGCACCTGAAATGTAGGTATTAACACCTAAAATGTACATATTAGGACCTAATATTGACATAGTAGGTCCTATACAAAAATGGACATATTGGCACCAAAATGTACATATTAACACTTAAAATGTACATATTAGGACCTAAAATGTACATATTAGCACCTGAAATGTACATATTAACACCTAAAATGTACATATTAGGACCTAAAATTGACATATTAGCAACTAAAATGTACATATTAACACTTAAAATGTATATATTAGGACCTAAAATGTACATATTAGCACCTGAAATGTACGTATTAACACCTAAAATGTACATATTAGGACCTAATATTGACATAGTAGGTCCTATATAAAATGGACATATTGGCACCAAAAATGTACATATTAACAATTAAAATGTACATATTAGGACCTAAAATGTACATAGTAACACCTGAAATGTACATATTAACACCTAAAATGTACATATTAGGACCTAAAATTGACATATTAGCAACTAAAATGTACATATTAACACTTAAAATGTACATATTAGGACCTAAAATGTACATATTAACACCTGAAATGTATATATTAGCACCTAAAATGTACATATTAGGACCTAAAATGTACATATTAACACTTAAAATGTACATATTAGCACCTAAAATGTACATAATAACACCTAAAATGTACATATTAGGACCTAAATGGACATATTAGCTCCTGAATTGGACATATGAGCACCTAAAATGTACATATTAGCGCCTAAAATGTACATATTAACACTTAAAATGTACATATATAAGCATCTACAATTTACTTTATTAGCATTGGGGCTGTACCTTTCAAAATGACTTTTAAAAAGGTTCAGCCCCAGTGACAGCTTTGGTACCTTTTTTCTGAGAGTGCACACAAAAGGCCCAGAGCAAGTATGAAACAAGCAAATAATAAATAACATTTATTATTATTAGCACCACCAGGACTATAGATCGATGTTTCCCAAATTGGGGTTCGCAGTTTGCGCGTTGATGAAAAGCTAATAATTAATGAAAATTAGTTTAAGAATCAGTTGTTATGTAAATGCCTACGCTTCAGTCACATTTGCATATTTTCTCGAGTTGCACAATTGGCTTTTTCATCTCACACAAACCTACAGTACTTCTTCTGGTATGCATTAACTATTCATTTTACGAGTAGGACGATTGTATTTGCATTTTTTTTTAAGCCAAAAGACTGAATAATTTCAAAAACTTTGCATCTGTTCAGAATGAATGCCAACTTTATGCTCTTTGTGAATTTGGGTGGCTTTCCAATCTTCGGTTTCTTATCGGAGTGTTTGAGCGAGTGGAGAGGAAAGACTTAGCTGTCCATCTCCTCTCACACAAAAGATCAGAAGCGCTGCCCGGGCCTCAGTCTCCGCTGGGATGCCAGCCATTTGATTGTTATCTGTCTATTCAGCTTGTGGAGGTGGGGCCCACCATCACACATCATCCTGGACCAGGGCTCTGTTTAATCTGGCTTTGCTTTTTGGACTGCTGTCAATTAAAACTAGCCGACATGTTTAGGTTACTGAGTGAAAAGTCCAAGAGCCGTTTGTTCTGAAGGGGCCGAGTTCACTGCAGTACCGCGTGACAGGATTGTGCATCTGCACTAGTCTGCCCCCTTGTGGATGTTGATTCGCAAAGCTCTTGTAGACAAAGAATTCTACCTCAGTGATGGATGATGGCAAGTTTCTGCCATGACGTCATTTGAATCTGAGATTATCTATCCAGTTATTTCAATTATATATCAACAATCGGACTCAGAATCTGGAGCAAATATCTTTCTGATTTATGATCCTGCTGATTCTATCAAGTGCAAAGGTCTTTTGGTAAACCTTGAAAGTGTTTTTTATTCTTCTCTCCTCCCCCATTCTTTCTCTCTGACTCTATCTATGTTTTGTGTCCAGCCTCTGCAGTGAGGTGCATTTGGTCGATGAAGGCAACTCATCATTGTGATGTATAATGGCTCCTGCTCTGAGTGCTATGTTGGGGTCAGGGGCCGTGGGGTCAGAGGTCGCCGGGGCGGCGTGGCTGGCTAAAGGGGAGCTGGCACTTGTAGGCACACTCACGGGACTCACGGCTTTTCTGCTGCTCTCTGTCCTCCTGCTGCTGTGTGCGAGCTGCCAGGGGTGAGTAACATTATTTGAAACGTCTTAAAAAAATGTTTTTTTCATGAATATTGTATTGTTGTTCCAAACCTATAGACCATTTGGGAGCTAATGTCACAGTTACAGCTTTAAGGGGCCCCACACAACCTACGCAGGGGCCCCGGATACCCCAGCGATGGCTCGCACATTGCGGTGGCATAAAAACTGTGGTAAAAAGTGGAGCTAAACAGAATAAATGGCCTGTTGTGCCTTAGGTTGTCAGAATCAGAATTAAAAAAAAAGATGGTCTTAATTTTTACAGATTAACGTTGTCGAAGATGCCCTTTGAAGCTTTTCAGACGTTTATGGTTGCACGCCATTAAATGAATAGACTGGACTGAATGAAACCTGCAATGATTACCCTACTATTATAGCATGAATTTGATGTAAACAATAGATCTATAATATTCATGTGCAGTTTATAGGGGGCATAATCTATTACAGTTAGATAATATTTAAACCTGTAACATTTTAAATGGATACAATTTAAACCTAAAACATTTTTATCTCATAATTCTCAATTCGGACTTAATAATGAGTTTATATCACAAGCCTGAGAAAAAAAATCTGAATTGCAGGACTTAAACTCGATATTCTGTGGGGTAAAATGGCAAAATGTCGAGTATATATTTATCAATTCAGATTTTTCTTGAAATAACATTTATTTATTCTTTTATTCCATGGCTTCCATGTTTTCTGCTACTAACATGTCAGGCGTCATCTCCATTGAACACATTTGAACTAATTTGACCATAAATTTATTCTGCAGGGTTTCACTGATTCTGTTTCCAAAATCAGCATGAAAAATGTTTACAAAAAGTTAATTTGGACCTGCAAATGAGTTTTTCATGAAAAATATGCAAATTAAATACTTATTTTACACAATATTTACTGAAAATTCACTAAATCAGAATTTGAAAACAAAAGGTGCACTCTTTGAATACAAATTTTTACTAAGTTTACTAAATTTTTACTACATTTTTAAAAAGTTAATAAAATTAGTAATAAATAAAAATATATAATTGTATATATATATATATATATATATATATGCATATATATGTGTGTGTGTGTGTGTGTGTGTGTGTGTGTTATAATTATTATAATATATACATTATAAAATATTAATAAAAATATTTTTGGATGTTTGGATTGTGATTTCAAGTTTTATCTCAAAAAGTTTATAAATTAAAAATTGGCCTGGCTCATAAAACATAAACAGTCAGTAATATTTGGTAGCCTTATATGTCATGGATTTACATTAAATCCATGCATTTATTGACAAGATCAGTCTAAACGATAATAATAGTATTTATTATTAATAAATATTTTAATATAATAGTAAGATGTAAAATGTACCAATATTTTCCCATTAAATATTTGTTGTATTTTATTTGAACATATAACCAGCAGTAAACTCCCAGTGGTAGTTTCTCTTGCAACAGATAAAGCTTAATCCTTGATTCGGTACTATATTAAATGTGATTTTAAATGCTTTGTTGTCTAGAACAAGGCTTAGTTTGCATCTTGGAATATGATGTTGAATGATTCAGAGTACAAGGCCAAATCTACAGACTTAATCAACATTTCTCAGTAATGCTCTCCCTCTGACTCCACAGGCAGAAAAAAGGGGGGCCGCCAGGAGACCATGAAAACCTGATGAATGGGGTAAGCATGTGCTACCATGATGCTTTTCAGCCTGTGCTGCCTCACTGTGGCTCAAACAGAGCCATACAATGTCCCTGTTTTTAATTTCAAAAGGCGTTTTCAATTCCCGAGATTACGCGAACCGTCTTTAGAGTGTTTAAGTCGTGAGAATGTGTGACCGCTGTGCTTGAGGGCCTGGTAAAGTCGGGAGAACGGAGAGGAGAATGGACGGTCATTGTGAGGCCCGGGTTTGGTGGGAGGAAAGCATGAAGCAGACAGATTAACATTTTTGTTTGACCGCAGGGAGATGAGAAACTTCATGCATGAGTCGCCTTTATCTCCAGCTCTGTTGCGTCTGACTGGGTGTCTTGTGTGAAATTATCATCCGAGGAAAGAGTTCAAGAGTTCAGGAGATGTTTAGCAATCAGGAGATTACCGTGACCTACTGAGGGCATAATTGACTGCTAGAACACACACACATAAACAGCTGTATAGGCAGGGTCTGTGGGGATTGTGTTATGCTTGAATTGTTCATTGTAACTGTTATTAAATGAGAGGGGCAAGCATGTGTTCATGGCTTGTTGACTGACTGTGAAGGCTTCTGAAACGCATATACTCAGTGAACACATGGATCATGGGGCCACTTCACAGCCAGATGTTGATTTTATGTTTATTATAATGTTCATCAGGTTGTGTTTACCTCAACTTTATCATTAACTGCTACATGTGCATGCTGTGCACTAGAATAACAGAACTATGAAAGCTGTAAAAATGTCTAAACTCTATGCGTTATGCCAATGATTAATGACAGCCGTTGGTTAAATAAACTACTGTATATCAGTTGGTTCGACACCTTTTTTTACTCATTTTGGGTTTCACAAGTGCAATTAGATGATTTGAAAATGATGTTCTTAATCCTCCTGTTATGTGTGTATTTCATCAATGTTTTTGTGTGGGGTCAAAACGCCCCCAGACATCACTGATTGGGTAAGAATGTGTACAGGTTCTGTAAAACTCTCTAATAAGATGTGCATGTTTATGAATTCTTCTAATAAGCGCAATTAGCATTTTTTTTTTTTTTTTTTAGAGATGCCGTAGTTGATTTGGGGTCTGTTTGACTTTACAGGAGGAATAACAACACATTTTACTACTTAGTCAGTTTAATTGTTGTTGACTCTGACAAGAACTTGAACAAATCATTTGGGCACTGGGTTGTAGTTGTGGAAAAGAGGTGGGCGAACTATAAAACGCAATGGGCATCCTGCCACGCATTGGAAAAGAGATAAACCACCACTTGCAGCAACCAAAGCATAGTCTTTTAAGTACTTTATATGTCATAGCTGAGTGCAAACAATTTTACTGCCTCAAACAGAAAGTGCAAAAGAAATTGCATTTTTTTGTTTTGTTTTAATCAAATGTTCCAAGGATCAGAAATGGTAAACTGCCATTTGAAATTTGGGGTCGTTTTTTTTAAAGGTGAATTATTACTTTTATTTAGCAAGGGTCCATTTAATTGATCAAAAAGTTATGGTAAAAACTTCTACTTGTGGTGAAAAAGTATCAGTTTTTCACAAATATATTAAGCAGCACAAACAGTTTTAAACCGTTGTCACCTGAACAGCAAATCAGAATATTAGAATGATTTCAGAAGGATCATGTGACATTGAAGACTGGAGTAATGATGATATGTATATATATATATATATATATATATATATATATATATAGTGTGTGTGTGTGTGTGTATATATATATATACTGTATATATGAAAATATGTTTAAATTAGGGCTGTCAAATGTCAAATGATTAATCGCATCCAAAATAAAAGTTTGCGTTTACATAATATATGTAGGTGCACTGTGTATAATTATTTTATATATATAAATACACACACACATGCTTGTATATATTTAAGAAATATTTTCATGAATATACTGTATATAGATTTATATATAATTTATATTATATATAAATATAAATATTTTGTATATAAATCATATTTTTTCCTAAATATATATGCATGTGTGTATATATATATATATACACACAAAATAATTATACACAGTGCACCCACATATATTATGTAAACACAAACTTTTATTTTGGATGCAATTAATCGCAATTAATCGTTTGACAGCCCTAGTTTAAATTTAAGTTTAAGATTCACACAAATGTTTTATTAAGCTCAAGTATTTTACTAAATAATTTTAATTCATAATATGAATCATAAGGATTGGTGGAATTTTATCATTATTTGAAATTTGTAAATCTTGAAAAAAGATTTAAAAATGTTTTTGAGAGTGTTTTTATAGCTATATCTTCAAATATCAAAGGTTATTTTAAATTGTAATAATATTTCACAGTATTAATGTTTTTACAGTTTTTTTTATCAGTTACGTGCATCTCTGCAAATATCTTACCGACATTGAATTAATTTTAATTAATTTATTTTAAGTTAAATATGAGCAGTTCATAGTTCAATCACTACATTTTTAATATACATTGAACCTAGTTCAAATTGTAGATGAAATTATATTTTACGCTCAAGAGAAGCTATGGGTGGTCAGATATGGGTGTTGTCAATAAATAACTTTTTTTTTTTAAATAAAAAAAAAAGTGAACTGCTTTCGCATCAACAAATGGGGTTGTGACCTCAAGGTTAAGATCCTCTGTAATATAAAGTGAGTATTAACGATTATGAAATGCTTAAGCAATTGCCTGCCATTTTCTCTCTGTTAACACTGTAAACCTCTTTAGTTTTGATGGATATCTGAAGGCTAACCTTTGCATGATATTGTACATCTTGCCTGTCGATATATTGAGGGAGGCTTCATTTAAATGCCGGTGTCTGTCACAGCCTGACAGGTTAAATGGGGTCTTTGTCTTGTTGTGACAATCTGAGTGGCTCTCAGCTTTAACCTTCTGTATCTGAAGGACTTCATTGCCCTGGCAACAGGCATTTTCAATGGGCTGCCACTAGGTGGTCCCACAGTGCTATTGCATGGTGTTTTTGCAATGGGTTAAAAGATGAAAACAAAGAGCTCTGTCTAAGTGTCTTTGTCTCTACTCTCTCTATAGCAAGGGTTTTCAATTTTTTTTTTTTTGGTCCATGACCATGCCCAGCTGTACGTTAGCGTATCATACGCGTCAAATTATGTTACACGGATAAAACACATTTTACATTCAGGCCACGGCATTAGAATTGATTCTGTGACTATAACAAATAATTCAAATCTGAACCCATGGCATCAGGGTTGATTTTGCATGCTGTCTGAATAGTGATTGCATCAATGAATACTGTTTAGCTCACAAAAAAGTGCATAGTAACTTTTTTCTATCCTGTTTCTCTGCAGGTGTCGGAAAAGGAAACATGTAGTCAGTCAATAGAAAGTCATAAAACTGACTTGGCAGTCAGCAGCTCCCATAATGGACCTCTTACAAGTGGTACAGGTAACAGTTCTCAATGATCGTCTCACGGTTCCTACACATTTTACATTTCCAGACGATTCTTAGACCACATTTAACTTAAATGCATTATTTTTGGTATTTATTACAGTCATCTGTAAATATTTTTTTCTCAGTTTTCTCAAAGTGATAACATGATGAGAAAAAAAGAAAAAGCTTTATAACCTACATATATGTACCTCTGACACATGACTTTGATACTGTAAATGTGGTTTGATGTTGCACGATCAGTACAGTCTGATTTACAGTAGATGATTGTTTGCTTCTATCTTGTTTGAGTGGCACATGCACATTTGTTTAGTCAAGTTCAAAAGAGACTTGCTTATGGTAAAGAATTAATTTATTCAGTCAGTCATATTCGACAATAAAACAATTACTAAACCTTTACCATGAAAACACTCTACTTGTATGGTTGTGTATTGACAAATTTCACAATTTCACACAAAGCAATTCAATTGACCTTATGAACAGAGATGCACTACTTCCTGAACTTAAGCCAGCTCCTTGTTTCCTGTCTGCCATTATTAGCGGAACTTGATTAATTCAGGTGTGTCTGATTATTGTTGCCGTGACTACTGAGGTCAGGCACACCTGGATTAATCAGTTTGGCCAATAATGACAGACAGGAAACAAGGAGCTGGCTTAAGTTCAGGAAGTAGTGCATCTGTGCATAAGGTCAATTCAACTCCAATTTCGATATAGATTTATTGCGCTATGTATCAGGTACAGTACATGGCAAATTTTCAAGAAAGTCAACTAATTGTGTATACTTGAAGGGAACCCTTACAATAATAATAATCGCCAAGATCAGGATTTTGGGTGTATTTGACTTTTTAAGCACAAAGAGCAGTGATAAAGAACTCAATTTAGTACTGAGAGGCGGCTTTATGTGTATTTTGAGTGTAAAATCTGAGGGAATGAGTTAAATTATGTGCAATACATTACACGCAATCCCACAGCGTAATTCAAGCTCTGTAACAGCAACAATATTCATGCGTAGCAAATGAAGCGAGTAAGTGAAGGAAGGCGGGTTTGTGTGTAACTCGCCGTCAGAGAGATGAGAGAGAGAGAGAGAGAGAGAGAAAGAGCAGCTGGTATCCTATCTATTCTGCAGGAAATAGATACAGTGTTGGAAGCGTTTCAGGTCTTTCAATACCGATATGTATTGAAAAATCTATATTTTTAACAACACTAAATTGCACTTAGTTTATTATTTGAGATGACTTTTTTTAAAGACTACAATTGAAAAATGCAAATATATTATATATAAAATTCAACCGGCCAAAGTTGGCCAAACCGTTTCACGCCACTGCTGAAATCCACCAATGTCAAGCCCTGGTTATAATAACTTTTTATTACATAATTATGTTTTCTACTCACTTTTTGAAATATAAACATTTAAATAGTGTCTGTCATAAAAACAGATTTCATACATACATTAAATATTGAGTAAAAACACATGCAATATAGTGCATATATTTAGCAAAATACTCCTTAGTTAATTTTTCGTTAATTTTGATTTGTCTATCAAGTTTATGGTCATTGAATGGGTTTTCTGAGGTAAATACAACATTATGTGGCATATTATTTACAACAGGGGTGCCCATTCCAGGAGATCTACCTACATACAAAATTAGCTGCTTTAGTTGTGCTTGATCATGATTAAAGCTAAACTTTGAAGGAAGGTAGATCTCCAAGAACCCGATTGGGCACCCCTGGTTCACAAGCTGGTTTATCCGTACTTTTCCAGACCTGAAACTTCTTGTAACAGATATTCACACTCTTTCCCCTTAACTTTTTCCTCAGTACTCACGGACACAATGGACACAAGTCCCCAGCCTTCTGAAGACATGCTGTCCAGCCAATCAGAGCTCAGATCCTCTAAGTATCACCAGGATCGTGAATTGCCCAGCATTCCACCCACCGATAACCTCAAAGCAGCTGTGGTCGATGCTCAAGTTGCCTCAGGAGAGGGCACATACGAGGTGGTGAAGGACTGCGCCTCCCGTGATGTCAGTGTCGAGGACTGTCTGTACGAGACGGTGAAAGAGCTCAAAGACATTGGCCTATCCAACGGTACACTAAGCCCAGAGGAACCGCCTGTGCCTCTTCTCAATGGCCACCCAAGCCCTGCTACACCAGACCACACCATGCTGCCCAATGGTGTCGAGTACGCCTCCGTCAACCTCAGCAAGAAGAGCCGCTACAGCACTGACCTGGAGGCCAGGCGCTCTGCCAACATTGTGGCGTACACAGATCCTGAGGAAGAAAAACCACCTCCCATACCAAATAAAGTACTGGATGAGAATGACAACCAGCAGATTCCAAATGGACAGGTGGGGCTACCAAACTGTTTTTCTTATAAAAGTACCATTGTTGTCCTGTAGAGTTCATTCTAACAAAAAAGGAACTAAAAGTTCAATGCATGCATCCACATTACCTGCACTTGTTTTGCCTGACAGAAACTGTACTGGTACTGGATTTACCGTTATTGAAACTCTGTAGAATGTTATTATAACATTTTTTACATTTTAGTATCAACCAAGCGGCCGGCAACCTTCCGGTCTCTCTCTTGAAGACTTAAACGGAAGTGACTTAAACTGCAATTCCACTAGAGACAGGCTCCAAAAAAGAGTCAATCCCATATACCTCCCATGTCAATATGCCCAACTTTACAGCAGAAAAAACACGTCTACAGCCTGGTTGAAAAAGTGGTTTTGCTCTATATAGCTAATTTTGCCCTTCATGACAACATGAGGGAGGTGAATTTTTTTTATAACTCATCCATTTCAATTATATTAAGCCTTAAAGTTCTGCATAATAAAGGGCGCGGCCAGTTGGATTGGTGCTGCTGTCACTACTAGCCATTTGCCTGCTGTCTTGTAGCCGCCACGTCACCTAATCCCGCCTCTTAGCCCATTTTCGGTTATCAAGAAATGACAAGCGATGACATGTTGCCAAGATGGAGACGGCCGGCTCTGCCCACTTTGGGCTTCAAAAATTCTCTTCATAAACCTAGGGGTTGACGTCATGGACACAACATCCATATTTTTTTTACAGTCTATGTTGTCAACTTACTAAAGTACCAGTAAGTTGGTACCCCTGGTACCTTGGGGGTAGCTAAGTGTCCAATCCTTCTCAAAGGGAAACTTCCTGTTGGGTTTAGCTCTAACATACTTGCTTCGAATAGTCACTGCGTCCAAAATTGCGTAGTGTTAGAGCATGTACTACATTGCATAAAAAACTTACTTTGCGACGTCCTGCTGTACTACGCCCACCATTGTCACGTGACTAAAACTTCAGTTATGTCATAAATACTCTTGCAACAGTAGAGTACCACCAAGTAGTTGGCGGTATTGCACCTTCTCGCTGGTTGCTACCTATCATAAATGGTAAAAATATGAAGATAATCTTGATTAGCTGGTTTAGGTGTTTAATAAGGGTTGACACTAAGAACAAATGGCCTTCCAGGAGCATGATTGGACACCCCTGGCGTAGCATGTAAATCTCAAGGTAAATGAACATGGCAATCATTCAGTACCATGATACATTTTACAGTACCATAAGTTTCACTAAGGTGTTAAATAGTGAAGCATCAGTTGCTCTCCTGCAATAATCACTTCCTTTAGCAGGAGCTTTTCTTTCTCACTCAGGAATGATGAAACCCTTCACATGTATAACGAAGTATAACAGAAGAACAAAGAAGAATATTCTCAGAAACAGACCAAAAAGGACTGCACTAACATTCTCTAGTGCAACTTAGAAGCCACAAGAGAACAGCGTATTTACAGTTTAATTACGATCTTTTAAGATATGTGCTCTGGTTGATGCTGATATGTGTACATGCGCCTTTAGCATACAAATGAAGCCATCTGTAGAGGCGAGCAGAGAGGCTGCTGTTGTGCCCGCAGTCAATGCACACGGCGTAAGCATCCACTACAGCCACACGCTACTGTCGCCAGTCAAGGACGCTCCGCACCTCTTTTGTTCATCCCTTTCTCATGCACTCTCGCTCTGTCATTAGCTCTCTTTTGCGCTCTCTCTTTGCTTTTGTTATTCTCCTTTCATTTTTTGCGCTGTATTTCTGCTTCCTTTGTACTTGTACAATATCAATTGTATGTCTTTTCCAACAAAAATGGTGCTAGTTGGTGGTTCTCATGAGCTAATGGTGCTCATGCTCAGCCAGAGATCTGGAAAACTCCAACCAAAACTGACCCACGCTTCCACTGACTTGAGCTGAGCTACATTATGACTTCATTGCTTACAGTATGTATGCATTATGAGTCTTTGTTTACAATATTTGAGAACATACTTTAACATCAAAAATGCTTCGATCAGAATTTATAATGAATAAAACTCAATCATGAATTTAGTACTCACATTTGATATTTGTAAACAAAATCATTTTAGTCAGAATGTCGGATTGAGAAATTAAGTGTCAGATGCGACGCGACTTATATAGGATACCAAAAGTGAGTTGTTCCTGATTCGAAACCAGCAGATTGTAGCGACCAGGGCCAGTGCAGAACCAATTTTTCCCAACCTTTCTGCACCTATCTGTGTGTAATGGTTCCAGATTGGCCACTGGATCTGGCACTGGCACTCTGGCAGTGGAAAGAGGCTTTAGTAAATCTTTTGATTACCTGAAACTTTTGTGGGAAAGTGTCCTCTCTAGTACTCGGTAAAATAAGGGAGTTTGATCATTTCGAGAAACTGTTTGTACCCTTCTACTACCCTGTGGGTTTAAACTTGACACCTGTCATTCCATATCCCATTCGCCGTGGCTTGATGTAGACATGTAATGGGGCAGCAATGATTCGTCTTATCGGTCACATGTTTGTGCTAACATATGTGTATAGGGATCAGAGCGTTCCAGCTGTCCACTGCCTGACAGCTCACACCTCATGATGAATGAGACGGAAGAGCATGTGTTTACAAGTACATCAGTCTGTTTTTGAAAAGAAAATCAGTCAGTTAAAGCTGGGATGCCCAAACTGACAAGCGCATGATGTAACACTTGTACGCACATCGGACACGTTGCCTCATTAGTTTACGGTGTGGACTGTATGCTTGGTTATTTGAGCGAAGCACGCAAGCTTGGCTTGATTGGAGCGCCATGTGTGTCATTATGCATTGGTGCCACTATCACTATGCTAGCGTGATGGACTGAGGGCAGCTGTCTTTGATAAACTGGGATTTCAGCACATCAACACTCAGAAGTCTCCTGCTGAAGGGAAGGACTTTTATTGTTAGTGTTGTTGCCTGCAGAGGATATGTGGGCACATGCTGACATTTGCGTGAAAGAAAATAATGGACACCATGCCGTTGCCTCATGCCTGGGCTGTACTGTCAGCATCCTGTCACACTCAGGGTATATCTTTCAATGTGAACTTCAAATGGTGTTCAGCCATTGGGGTAATCAAGGGAACTTATGTGATCAGTCTCAAGGACACTACAAACGGAGATCGTAATTGGGAAGTCACCCACAAGTCATTGCAAATCACCTCAGTACTATACAAAATGTGGCTTCGGTTTGATCCACCTCAGGTATCTATGAAGGTGTTTGTGGATATAGTCCCTTTCAAGGAAAGCCAGTTCACTCGGCAGTCATATTTGCAACGCCTCCAGACAGCTATTTTCGGTCAAGCAAGTGTAACTCCAATCTGCCTGAATAGGGAAGTACTAAAACTGTTTTCTAAACTTCACAACAAATCAGTAACAAAATCTGACATGAACTGTCCCATAAATGTTTTCTTAAAAGCAAATCTTTTAAGTTTGCTCCAGCAAATGTGCACGTGCAGTCCTAAGCATGACCAAATATACTTTGTAGATTAATTTTAATATTTAACAATATGAATTTTATGTAAATACATCTTAATTTGATGTCCATTCATGTGTGATGACGTTGCAGTGTTTTTAAACGCTGCTGATGATCGTTCATTTCTTATATGGGGAAATCAATGGAAGAGGCACTTTAATTAAAATAGAGGGCTGGACAGAGACAAAGGCATGAGTGAATTAGCAGATAAGCTTTATTGTAAGAGGCATTTGTTAGTTGTGATGAGGTTAGGGGGGTCTTTGCTGAGCTACTTGGATGGGCTATTAAATGAATTGCTTTGCTAATTAAACCAATATCAAGGCACATCTGGATAGCTCCTGATGCTCATTTTGTATGATCATAATCAAAGCATAACATACTTCAGGTTCACTGGGTGAGGTGGTTTCATCAAAACAGGCTTGAAATTTTGGTGCTAAAATTGCTTAGGATTAAACTTAAATTGGTGGTGATGGTGCAGTGGATAAGACATGCCTTTGGAGATACAGGTTCGAATCCACTGTGTCCCTGAGCAAGACACTTAACCCCTAGTTGCTTCAGAGGCGTGCGACCTCTGACATATTTAGCAATTGTAAGTCGCTTTGGATAAAAGCGTCAGCTAAATGAATAAATGTAAATGTAATCTTGGAGGGGTTATAGCAAATTTTCCCACTTGACTGTTGTCTCTCTGTCAGTGAAGTGACTGAGACAGGGATTGATATTATTCTCCAACAGCTAAGGTGTCCGTTATTGACCTGCTGTAGGATTTACTGTGTTCATTAATGACTCCGTTATTGATTCCTTTTGTAAATATACAACCACTCTTGCTTGGAGAGCAACTGTACATTTGATTTCAATCAGTAACTCTTAAGTAATGAATGAGTGGCTTCGTTTTTGCATCAATCAGTCCTTGACACTAGCATGTGTCAGTAGAAGTGAGCTATTTCCTGTGCATTTAAATTGATTAAAAGAGAACTCCGGCGCAAAATGAACCTTTGGTCTAATAAAACATCGGTACCTATAACTGTTCTCTGAGTTTTGTTTTCATGAAAATTGAATGTAAAGTGTTTTATCTCTAAAAACTGTTTAGCGTATAATGCTAGTTCTGGGAGCATAAGAAATCGCTAGTTTATACCACTAACAAGGCTCAAAATAGCCCCACACTAACACAGTAACATAATGAGAGTCCATACATGCAAAATGAAGCATTGAGAACTTTGTAAGTTTACAGACCATTTAATAAGAAGCTACTTTATAAAGACAGTTCACTTTGTGTATACATACAGGAGCCATCTTTGGAAAACAGTCACAACAAGTCAAATTACGAACGTCGTGCTGAGTGATCTGAACTGTATGAAGTTCAGCGAACTTCTGAACGGCGTTCGGGGATCGACTTATCGAGACTATTTTCTAAGATGGCTCCTGTCTGTATACACGAAGTGATCTGTCTTTATAAAGTATCTTCTTATTAAATGGTCTGTACACTTACAAAGTTCTCAATGCTTCGTGCTTGTTAGTGGTATAAACTAGCGATTTCTTTTACTTAGTAAATGCCCCCAGTAGCATTATATACTAAATAGTTTTTAGAGATAAAACTCTTTACATTCGATTATCATGAAATCAAATCTCAGAGAACGATTGACTAGGTACCAATGTTTTATTCAACCCGGTCTCATCCCAAATCGTCATATAACTGACGTTTTGGGACGTCTTTTGACCATACGTCAATATTCGCCTTTTTAGGGCCCCCTTAAACGTCGGTAGATGAGGTTATGGGATCCTAACTCTACCCCATACCTAAACTTAACCCTAAACCTAACCCGTCACCTAACTGACGTTAAAGGTAAAGCGTCAGTTGTATGACGGCCCGGGATCGCCATCTACCGACGTTTAAGGGGGCCCTAAAAAGGCGGATATTGACGTATGGTCAAAATACGTCCCAAAACGTCAGTTATATGACGATTTGGGATGAGACTGTGTTATTTTATTAGACCAAAGGTTCATTTTGCGCCGGAGTTCTCCTTAAATATGTTTTTAACTAATGGTCTCATTTCAATCATTGTCCTACAGTTACACTCCCCGGTAATGACTCCAGAGCTTGACGACAATGTATCTCCGGACAATGAGGTAAGGTCTATCAACATCTCAAAGCCTGGCAAAGACCAACTTGAAGTCTTTGTAGGTTTTACCAACAATTAATAATATTTGCATTTTAAAATCGCCCTGAACCGAGCCTGTGGAGTAAAGATGTCTCATTCTATGTTACATTTCAGTTATCAGACATGTACTCCAAGCAAGTGAAGAATACTGTAAAGGAAACTGAGAATGACTACAGCAGCATCGGAGAGATCAAGGGAATGGTGCCCGAGTCGACTTCCAGTGATCTTTATGCCACAGTTGGGGATGATTACCCAATGGCTCTTGGCTCCCAGCCTCCGGACGGGATCGCAGAGAATGCAGACCCTGCGTACGAGACCATCAAGATCTCCAAAGCGACTGAAGAGGATCATCAGGGCAATGGGATCGGGGAACCTCACTATGAGAGCGTGGGGGAACTGGGTCTGAACGGGGACATCTCCCGTCTCTGACCACCCATCTAGGGGACCGTGGACAAAGAGAACTCACTTCTCTGAGGTTTAGAAGTGGAATTTGGGGTGGTATCTTGAGAATAATGCACTTAACCTTTCCTGATTGAATGTTTTTCAGTCTAGCTTTTATGCAGCCCATTGTTTTTGAACATTACTAATGAAAGGGTTCATTCAGACCCGTGACCCAGCATAGGAAATGAAACACTCTAGAGTCCCCAGAAGAGGGTTTGTTATGCTTTTCATGGGAATAATTGGCTTCTCGACAAACCTGAGAAGCCCCTATAGAAGCTGTTTTCATTGGCATCATGACATGACATACATGTCTACAGCACTCTTTGCCATGGCCAGTTTTGTCCCCAACACTTTCTGAAATAGCTTCCAATAGGGATGTATCTAAAACAGAGGTGGCATCTCTAGTTGTTAAGCGAGAGTTTTCAGTGGATTTGTGTGTTGTTATAATAATGTCAGCACACATGCCTGCTCAGATATGAGTATATGTTCTCTAATCTATCATTTTTCCGTGGCTCGTTCCTGTTCTAGTGAAACCACAAAACAAACTGCAAAATAATTATTTTCCCACTCTGGATATCCACTGATGTAAAGCTGTAATTATGGTTAGAGTTCGATTAGAACGGATTAAAACCTCAAACCCCTCATATAGAAAGAAATAATTTTTGCTAGACCAAAGATTCAGAATTCATATGTAGGAATATACAGCGAGAATGACTGCTGCATCAAGAACGTAGCAACAATGTGTGACAAATGTATTTGTTTAAATTATTTTAAGACACTTATAATGCTAATGACTTTTCAGATTTGACTCAAAAATACTCTACTACACACTTGATCGGTAAATTACAGACTACTAATTAGAACAGTAAAATATCATATAATTTGCATATCCTAATTAATATTCAGAAGTTATGTGACATAACAGCACATCTGTGTAACCCCTTCCCACATGTCCCCAGGACTTTTCAAAGCAAAGTCACACCAGTGGCTGTTGTCTTATGAGAAATATTTTATTCATTGTGTACTAGTAGTTTCCATGCTTTTGTAAGCTGCACTCTGCCTGCCCGATATCACGTGATACTAGTTGAGCAACTGACGAGGTTGTGTCCTTATATAACCCCAAAAAGAGTCGGATACATTTAACAGCAGACCTCTCAGCTCAGTCCATTAAGGAAGTACACCCATTTTAATCATTCAGAACGGCTGGAGTGTTTTGTTTTTACAAGTAGTACGCAAGTGACGTTCACAAAACGCATATCAAAATATAAAAGAAGAACCTTTAAATGTAGCCATCATTCTGAGCCGCTTAACGTGTTTTATAATTAATGTGTCAACTGACCGGCTCAGGTGAGAAAGTGATCTTTAAGGTACGCAAAGTTAAGCACTCATTTATGAGTGTACTAAAAGGGTATTAATGAAAAGTTGACCATTTTCTGTTGCTGGTGTTCAGTTGTATACGGATTGCCATTTGTGATGTAATTGAGCTATGTTGCATCAATATGTATGTGTGATTATTTTTTTTATTGACGCAGCTGTATTGATTAAGTGTATCAGATGCATTATATATTTCAGATATTGTTTGGTTTTTACATATAATAGGTACGCAACATTTCAAAAGGCTGAAAAGCACAGGGTGAAGGAGACATGGTACTGCCACAATGCAGCTTGTAATTTATGATCCGGTATGCATTTAGCTGCTTTTACATTCATGTAGCAGTATAATCAAAAAGCATAGCGTGTCCAGACACCGTATGGGACAACTTCATGCCAAGAGACACTTGTAAATATTCAAATGACTATTTTGATCTGTTAAATTATATCAGTTTAAGTATGCTTCTGTAATTATTGGCAACAGCTCTCAAATGACAGCATGAGGACATTTTATGGTTTGTTTGTATTGAGGAACTAATGGAACTTTAAGAGTCAGTGGAATACACGCTGTTAGATTCATTATGCATTTTTAATTGAATAAAGTTTAAAGACTGTCAAGGTTTATTAACATTCAGTAGCCTAAAAGCAGGAATATGTATTGCTTTGGAATTCTTATTTTAAGAACTGGATTGAGTCCCAATGTTGTTCGTGTTTGCTTGTAATGGTACATTGTGTTGGTACAGGTTCCATATTGAGAAGATCCTTGTTATAGTTAATATCATGGTGAAACTTTGTATGTTTTGTTCCTCCCATAACCAAATTCTGTGTATTTAGTTGTAAATAAGAATGAATTTTGCATTTGTTTATTTCATCATAATCTTTGTATAGTGGTATTTGCTTCTTAAACAATATAGTCATGCTGGACTAATATAATGTGTGTGCATGTGTTTGTTTATCCACATCAACTAATTTATTTAAACATTAACAATTTCTCCTTAATAGTGCTATATTTACAAGGACATTGCCTTAGCGTGCAAAAACACTGTATAATCTGTTGATATTTAATCTGTCGATACATAAATTCTCAAGTGTAGAAAAACAACCTACTTCATATTTTACTGCACAGCCTGCAATTGATTGAATCTGCGCATGGTCAAAGCAACATTAATTTTAAATGCATATAAGGGAGCGGTGGCAAACAAGGGCACTGAATACATTTTTTATTTTCACTTCATAAGGATACTGTTTGTTAAAAGATTAATCTTTTCAGCCATTCCTTAAGGGGTTATACCTATAGACAGTTTGTTATATATGAATCATGCCCACAAGCGCACAGTAATCAAATACACTGAGAAATGATCAATGCTACCATCAATTCAGAACTCACACTGATGAGCACATACAATAACATGTGCATGTTCGTGTTTAACGGGACACAAAGGTAAAAATGTCCAATTAAGGCATTATAATGCACAAAAGACGGTGGATTACTTCTGTATTGGGTATGAATTGCACAACAAAATTTTTTAATAATGTAAGAATCTTTGAGATGGCATTGTATTACTTCTATTATTTTTACAAAAAACAATTCCTTAAACCACACCTTTAACAGAAAGAGACTTACATATAGTTTCTTACCACATGTTTTAAATTAAAATCTAATGGCATAAAATAAATGGCATAAAAGTTAAATTTGAATAAACTAATAAATTATAGCCTTTTGAACTGCAAATAAAAGGATTGAGGCATAGTGGTATTTTCCATGTCTGAAGGATAACTTTAATGTCATGTTCAAATGAGAACTGGGAACTGTCGATTCAAGTTTGTGACTGATAAGCCTAATATTACACTGATATTACATTTCAAGGGAGTATACTGAATTTAGTCTGAATGGTAAAGTCATTCCCTGTTTCCGAAAATGCTCACTTCCTCAAAAAAACAGACGAGTAGTGTCACTTATCAAATGTCATTACATTTCATTTAGGCATGTAGCCTAGATAGTCCAGCCAGAAATTAACATTATGACAAACTTTATACTTTAGTGACAGAGGCTGTTATTCTGTCATCTCATTTTGTGTGTGTGTTCAATGGAAGAAAAGAATTCATACATGAGAATGACCAATGATTATAGACCATTTCACAAGATGTAAACAACACTGGTCCAGAGGCACTTCCTGTTTCAGTTTTTTACCACTACATAAAAGCCGGGATAAAATACAACCAACATGACATTTAAAACTGAATCAAAAAGTTTAACAAACATCTTTAAGATGTTTTCTTTACATGTGAAATAAAGAAAACAGTTACAAACTGAAACAGGAAGTGCTTCTGGACCAATGTTGTTTACATCTTGTGAAATTTGGTTGAGCTATCCCTTTAAGACGTCAAAAATAGAAATATACAGCATTTCCTTCCTCAGCATAACAACTCTTTTAAAATATTTGTATTATCCTCAGAGTCACAAAAGTTAAAGGGATAGTTCACTGTGAAATTAATTTTTGATGTTTTAGCTTACCTCAAGTGCATCCAAGATGTAGGTGTCTTTGTTTCCACAGCACTTTCAATTTTGACATTTTTTGGTCAAACCGTTGTTGTCTGTCAGCCCTATGCAGTTTTAGGGGGTCCACCTCAATGAGAATGCACAGAGAAGTCAAAATTAAACATGATTTAATGACTCGTGAATTTAAGTACACACTGATGGCTTAATACACGAAACGAGCGGTTTGTGTGAGAAAACAAACAGTATTTATATAGTTTTTTACCTCTTGTTAACAGCCGTCGAACTGATCTGAATCAGATGTCGAACTGAACCGTCTCCGTGATCTCTCGCGCGTCTACGTCACTCATTGTTTACACGGAGATTTCGGAAGTTTTACCTTTCACTAAACATATGTTTAGTTTTATTTATTTATTTATTTATTGGTTTGTGGCAAGTGTGACTGATTTTGCTTAAACAGTCATTCTGTTCTGACTACTAATGACAGGTCACAAGTTACATTGAGGACCTTCAGGAATCCCCACCACCTGTCAATCATTCTCGCCGGGTCACACACCCTATTGCACTCATAACCCGGTTTTGACAGGTTATTATCATCATAATTAATGTTGTGTACACTGACCAACCTACCCACCTAAATAATAACTACAAGCTCATAGTGAAGACAGGTCACACACACAGAAAGATGGACTCTCATCTCTCCATCCTTGCGCCGTTGCTTGTTGTATTTGGAGGGAAACTGCAGAGAGGAAAGCGAGAGCGAGTGAGTGGAGGCGTGTGTGCCGTGAGCCAATGAAAACTCACACTGGCTGCGCGAGCGCACATGTTTACAGGCGACATTCCGCCGGTACAGCCAGTGGCTCTTGAAAACCCGGATGGATTTTAAGGAATGGAGTCTTTCTCACATAATAACGGATTTGCGCTCATCTGCGGAGTAAAAATTGTCTATTACGACTGCACAGTCGACGCTGGAGACGTTTATTAATATTATAATATCATTTAGATTTCTGTTCGACCGGTCTTCGGTGATTTATGACATAATGCTCGTGGTGTGTATTGTGAAAAATACATCGTGTTTGTCGAGTCAAAACGGATGATCCGCTCCATGTTTTACAACACCCCGCCAGCTTTAAGGGAACGGCAAGCAAAACAAACAGGTCGACAGAAGAAAGATATCGGTTGCCGGTCGGTTGTTCGGTCGGTCGGACAGAGAGGATATTAAGCGTAGGACATTTGCATATTGTAACTGATTATTGGTTCGGTGTCCTGAACATGCGCGTTCAAGCCAGCTGAAAGATGTGGATGCGGTTCATATCTTTGGTGATGATGTTGTCGTATTATTCGCATGAACGGCCCATGATGACGGTCGGTCCGGTTATGTTTTGTCAACGTGACATTTCTTTTTTTTAAAGCGGCTTGGCTGTGCAACGATCGAAGTACTTATATTTGGGCATTTCATTGTTATATCAACTATGCATACGCGGCGGCTGGTGAAGCGCTCGGTCATTGGGAGCCGCGTGTACGCGCCGGGTTTAACGGGAGACGCGGCTCCGCTCACGGGAGTGATCCAGGCTGTCAAACAAGACAACAGAGATGCTTCAACCGGCCATCGGCGTAACGTGTATACGGTGCTCATGCAAGACGGGAGCTTGAAAGAGTACTCGGAGGAAGAGATTGCACAAATGACTGCGAAAGCACCGCTGAAGTCGAGCTTGAAGGTGCGTGTGTGTGGTGTCTGGGCTTGTTGTTGTTGTTGTTGTGCTGTTGTCGCACACAGTATTGTTTACAGTGCATTGCAAGATTGTTTGTTTGATTATCCAAATATTGTGAGAGTGGATATTGCAGTAATCATGCTGAGGACTAAGCTACAGATTAAAATGACTATTGAGTCATTGGCCCTTCAACACTAAACATTAGGGGCCAATTACTTTTTAGTTTACCAAATTCTAGAATTGCAGAAGCGCCGGTGTCCATGCTCACAATCCATTATTAGGCTTACATGAAACTTTTTTAATATGGACATTTTTGGCCTCATTGTTAGATGGGAATAGTTGCATGCAAATGACTAAGTAGGCTTCATATAGTGTATGAATTGAATATGCAATTTGAGTTCGTATAGTTTACTTTTCAACCTTCACTATGAATGAACCTACATTGTTGTTAAAAACGCGACTACAACAATGCTGTTGTGAGTCAGACTGTATTTGTGCAATATATAAATATTCTGTGAGAATATTAAGCACGAATCCATCTTACAAGTGGATCTCATTCGACAATGAACTTTTCATGATAATAATTAAATAGACTGTGCAAGCATATATTTCGATTTAGGCAACATGTTGTTGTCATATGAACAATCAGCTGAAGTCTAACGAACCTAAAGCCTGAGTAGCCGTGATCGCTTTCAATCAATCGAACAAACGAATAAATGACTCGCAAGTTCATCGAGGGAGTCATTTGTGAACTCAATGACGGCTCCAAATCGTTCAAATCGAGAGAGCTCAACGCTTGTTTTGGAATCTTAAAAAGAACATGTTCATAAGAGTAGTTTGTTCGCTAACTTGTGCTGTTTTACGAATACAATGCAACAGATAGATGCAAAATAACGGTGCTGGAAACACTGCATTGCATATGTATGACCAATCACAAGATTATATAAAAAATAGGTAAACAAACACAAAGTTTTGCCGCCTGACTAGATTCTAAATGATTGTATAGTGTTGTTTTGTTGCATTTGGGGTCGTTTTACTCGCAGTCTGTAGCCCTGTAGTAGGGCCCGTGTAAGCTGCTGATGATGATCTGACTTCAGTGGGTGGATAACAGTGGCGAACAAACACAGTAACTGCAGCATTCATTCATTCACGCGCCAGCAGAAGCATCTGTGCGCGCGCGTACATCTCTCCGCTGAAACCGGCTCTTTAGTGTGTGCGTGTTTTAGTGTTTTCGACATTAATTGCTTTTACAGTGATCGCGTTTTGCAAATATGTTCTTTGATATTTAGTTAATGCTTTAGATCATGTTAATTTTATTCACCGAATTCTGTGTGATTGCACAGCGCAGGCTGAGTCGCTGCTTGCACATGATTGCAAAATACAAAGGTTTTTTTTTAAATAATGACCTAATTGCAGTCATCAAGTTAAACAGCCTGAGGTGCTAAATCAAAACAAAGAGGGTGAAAATTACAAGAATGGCACCAGTTCTTCTATTTCATTCTCTAATAATCAGAGCTGTAAGACTGTAAGGTTAATAACATCGGGGAAATAATTGAAGTAAATTAAAATAAATGCAATAACTGCAATGTGCATGCAATATTTGCTATCAAATTTTATTTGGATGCTGCTGTATGTAATGGTTTGCATGTGTTTGTTTTTGGCAAATATGCTACCTTAATGTTTGTGTAACGTACAGACAATTTAATTTGCAATCAGAGAAAATAAAGTGGCATTTTTCAAATGTAACACAAGAAAATATTACATACAAGACATGGTGACATTTTCTCTGGTGACGCATGATGGGGGAAAAGGTTAAGATGTAAGCGATGCAAGCAGAGAGGGATGTGAAACTAGGGTGGGGGCTAATGGTCCCGGAGCAGCTGCTCCGTAACGGTGCAAAACAGAGCTCTACAGAGGTCATGCTTATAGAATCTGGGGCTTTGGCAAGGCGCCTGGATTCCCAAACGAGAGCCGTTCGGCTTGGGGCTTGGGGGAATGCCACTTGTTGACTGGTATAGTAAGACAAGGAGGGGCTTCACGTAAAGTGTGTTAGTGTGGTATTTCCAGACAAAGGCGGACTGGATTGTTTTTGTTCCCCTGTTGTTTCCACTGCTTAATATCAAAATGTAATTAATCCACACAGGCTGTCTACCAGTCTTAACTCTTTATGCACCAAGGCTTTGTTGCTGGTTTCCACTTCACTCATATTAAAAGGGTTGAGGTTTTGGTCATGGACCCTTGTTACAGAGGCAGAAAAGCAGTAGATGAGTTTATATGGGTTTATAAGGAGCGGCATAGTTCCTTTTGGCAGTAGATATTTCAAATCTCGAGTGCAGCATCTCGCACGTGAACGTGCATAGTGCTTGTGTTTATTTTCCTCATGAATATTCAAATATAAATAAATAAATAATTTGTATAATTAATTTCGAGTGCTCATCTGTGTGCATCCTGCTCTCAAATCTAATTAATTCTCTTATTAGATCAGCCGAGATCTGTTTAAATTGATTTAAACCCCCTAACTCTTTAGCAAAAACAAGAACTTATTTGAATAGTTTGACTGGCATATGAATTGTGACCCAAATTTTATCATTTTGGAGGCTGTTGTTCTCCACATGTTGTGTGAGAAAGCTGTGGCCATTAAAATGCACAAAGCAAGGGTGTGTGGTTTGAGAGAGAAAGACAGAACTTAATAGTGTGTGAAATTTAAATTTGAACTTGTCAACTGTGCATTTTTGATTTGATGCTTGAAAGTCTTGCACAACATGATGCCGCTTTAACAAATCTGTTCATCTCGTGAAAATACGGCAAAGCCTGGTATTCATCTTCTTGATGGAATAGCATTATGTTGTGTGTGTTTACTCCACCAGGGATGTGTTGTGGTATCGACCCTTCATTTTTTGTGTTTTGTGTATTGTAACTGAATTTTTTACAAATCATGTGACAATTCGATTTTTTTTTTTTATAGTCTCCCATTGATGTCTATTTTTTTGTGTGTGAGCAGAGCATTTCATATTGTGGATGCAATAAGGTCGCCAGTTCACTTCAGTGTTTTGGCTGCTTTTTTTATGCTAATTTTTTAAAAGCTGCTAATTTTTTATAATTGACAATTTTTTAATTTATTTTTAACTATCACATTCATATATATATATATATATATATATATAATTTGTTCATACAAAAAAATGCCTTAAGGCATACTACACTTTTTTTTTGGAAATAGACTCATTTTAACTCCCCCAGAGTTAAACAGTCGAGTTTTACCGTTTTCGAATCCATTCAGCCAATTTTCTGATTTTTAGAAGAATATCAGTAACCAGACAGTTTCTGGTCTCATTGACTTCCATAGTATGTGTTTCAGCTGAAATTAGTCCTCGTCGGCTTTGTTTTTACATGAAAAAAATTACATTATTTTGTTACAAAATCACATTGTATTGTCTTGGGAGACACCAAACACCCTTAGAGGGACTTGTAATCCCAGCTAATGTACAACCAGATATCATTCCAATTTATTTTATTGTTTGTAGAGCTAGCATAGAAAGTGTCGCAGCATCAAGTCTCATGCCATTTAGATGAAGGGAGTCTTTTTTTTATTTATTTCAGCAAACGTCATTTGGGGTCAATAAGACCTTGAATAGTGCATAAGGGCTAGAATTATTGCTAATAGAGATAATATGATAAATTATTTTCATGCTATAGCTGATAATAGAATTGTAACATTTGCAATTTATCAATAACTTAATTTGTCTAAAATAAAAGAAAAAGAAATGAATTTACACATCACAGCATTACAGTTGCAATATGTATAATTAATTTGAACTACATACTGTATTTAACATTGTTATTCAATTATTAGCGGTTTTAAAGATTAAGTGAGCATTAGATAACAGCATTCACAATTATCCATTAAATAATAAAATATTATTGTGCATCCAAAGTTTTTCTCCAAAAGCTATTATATGAAGATTTGGAATATTGTAACATATAGTTCATGTTTGTGAACATTATGGTGCATCTGTATTATTTTTTTGAAGCTTAAAAAGCTCAAGTCCTAATTCACTGTTTTTGCATAGAATAGAGCAGCCGACACATTCTTCAAAGTTTCTTCCTTTGTGCTCTACCAATAAACCCATTTAGCTTTGGAGCGACATGAGCGTGAGTAAATAATGACAAATGGTAAATAATTAAAAATGTTATTAATTCAAAAGAGTTTATTAAGATAACCACACTTCACTAGTGATGAAGTGGGTATTGAGGCAGGTAATCCATTTTATTCTTAACTCCATTGTAATATGTGCACTCCCAGATGCTCAAAGCTCAGCACGATAGGCATTTAACCCTCTCTTCAGTCAAACTAATCATGTTCCGGTAAGATACTGATCTGTATTGCACGGCGCTCACTGTCATCATGCTCTCCGCTGGTGCATGCGGTGTCTTGGCCCCTGTATGTCCTCTCTGAAGCTTGAGGTTTAGTGTACCGCAGCTTTAGTCACAATAAATAGAAAAGTCTACGGCAGCTGTGCAGATGAGACGTGCAAGAGGAAAAGCTGCTCGTCTTTGCATTAGTGTGGTCACGGATGGTGGCTTGTTGTGCTAAGGGGGAAATGGCAGAGTGAGGGGGGGGGGGGTTATTTTTCTTTTTTTCAGCAGCGCATAGATCTTCTAAAACAAACAAGCCTGCAGATGTGATTTCTCGATCCAATATACATTGGTGAGGTGTTTGTATGGACCGATGTAAATACAAACAGTTTAAATACAGCCTAATGCACTGTGATTGCAAGCAAACAAGCCTCACAGTTGGGGTCTATAGCTTTAACAGCTCCCATAGGTGTAAATAGCGCTTCAGACATTGACTGGAGGCACGTGGAAAGATTGAAAAAACGTAAAAATGTTTCTCTCTGCAGAGCACCTGTAATGGTGGCCAGCGGGACTGGCCCACGCAGGGCCAGAATGGAGGTGTGCCGAGAGGTGAGGCGCCCCCCCTCAGCCCGGAGAGCATAGAGGAGCCACGGGTGCTGGAGCACAAGCGAACGGGCCGGGCTCTGGAGCCGGAGAAGGATCACACCCGCTCCATTTCTCTGCTGGAACAGAAACGCAAGGTGGTCTCTTCCAGCATCGACGTACCACAAGCCAGGTAAGGCTACAGGATGAGCACCCCCTACAGGTGCTGTTGAGAACTCAAGGAATCATGAATGCCTATGTAAATTGTTTGTTTTCGCACACTAAATAACAAGAGCTGAGGTCTCATTTATAAACCACTTCCCAAGCAAAGGTTGCGATCTATTAAAAACAAACTTGATGGGAGAATGTATGCTCCTGTAAGTAAACTCACATTTTGGAGACAAAGCAGTTTGTTGACACCAATGGTGAGCTGAGGGACTGATGGCAGATGAAGGAAAACCACTTTAAATCTTCATTACGAGTCCTAATCATAAATGCAGTGCAATACAGTTGAAATAAATATATATGGCACTCTCATTAATGGAGGTAAGCAATTACATTAAATCCTTATTGAGAAGTGTTATATTGAAAATGTTATTTTCTAATCAATAGAAATATTTGTAGTGGATGCAATGCTTTTTAACACTTTTTACCTGTGGCATGCTGTGTTTTAATGTTTTAACTACAGCGAGGATTGCTTAGCGCATGGTAATGGCAGAACTCATGGTCTGAGACAATATTTTTGCACGAATAATGATCAATAATGCACAATCTGTTTCCATTAAACATATAACGCAATTTAAAATACTATTTAGATATTGGAAAAGATTGAGAAAAACTTTCTCTGAAATGTATTTGATTTATTCAGAAACAAAGTAAGCATTATTTTCCTAATGTCTTGTTCTGTTAAACATGGTATCACGTGGATGAATATGCATATGATATGCAGAGGAGAATATGCATAGTAAAACTGGGTTTTATAAAGGGAACGTGTCGCAGATTTTGGTGTACGCATGGTTTTGAATTTTTTTTGCCGTACGCCATATTTGGCTTTCGAACACTTTTAGTATGTAAGAAGTTTGCTGGTGCTGGTGAGATGTTGGGTTCACGTTATTTCTAAGTGGTGTCAGTCTCCATAGAAACTAACATCAGAATCCCAAAGGACATTAACAAGATCTATAAATGGTTTCATCTTATCTTTTATAATTATTGATATTTTTCAGTAAAAGTGATCTATTCTACTAAATATGACCCACTTTCAATACATATTAATGTCTCCACTGGTTGAATTACCCTTCAAAAGTGTCATATCGAAAAAAGCCTTTTTGGAGCTTGATTAAATAAATGCTTTATTTATATATATTTCAAGCTGAAACTTGCAGGTTGTTTTAATGGTACAAAAGCCTATTATATGTCAAAAGATAAAGCAAATTAGTTTTTAAAATGTCATGACCCCTTTTAATTTTATGATTTACTGTGATATATATTCACTAAATAAAGTGAAGCGTGTATGATAGTTATATTTATTTAGCACTCTAAGTGAAGTGCAGGCCACTGGTATATTGATAAGCTTGTTTGTGGTTTGTGAATCTTGTGGTCTGAATGCTTTACAGCATTTGTACTTTTTCTGTCACCTCTAGCATGCAGCAAGTTGTAGAACTAAAACGCCTTTAACAGCTCTTTCATATGTTTGTCACATGCAATTTGTAACATAACATAAATATCAAAAAGTCAATTGACTCGCAGCTTTGTGTGAAGCACAACAAAACATCTGCCGTGTGATAGCTCTATTACTACACTTAGACCTGATATTGACTTATCTGTTGACGAATTATTGATCTCCTAGATCAATTTACATTCTTTTCATCCATTCAGAAAAAAAGGTCTCATTGAGTGCTGCTGAATTTATTTTATGGCATACAAAAAGGTTTATTATTTCTATCTGCGTTAATTGGCCAAGCATGTTCGATTCGCTATAGGTTGACTGCTGATATCTCCGGGTGTTATATTGATTGCCTGAGTGGTGCTCAATTTATGAAGCTTATTATTTTTAATGCTTATAGAAAACTGCGATTACTCCTCCATTACAACATGGTGATGTCTTCGTTTTGCTATGTCTCCATCCTGACAGATATTCAGTTGTGTTCTGTTTTTTGAACAGATTATGTATAAAACATGAGATAAAAATGGTTATAATTTCATTAACAGTATCCACAATAATGACATTTTCCCAGTTATCTGTAAATATTAAATCGGCCTTGAATATATAGATTACTGTTACGTTTTGGGTCAAATGGCTGAACACTTTTATTAGATTTCTATTTCAAATAAATGCTTTTCTTTTTAACTTTATATGTCGGAGGATCCTGAAAAAATCATGGTTTCCACAAAAAATATTAAGCAGCACAACTGTTTTGAACATATATGATAATAATAAGAAGAAATGTTTCTTGAGCAGCATGTTAGAATGATTTCCGAACACATACAAACCTCAAAGCATATGTATGTTAAGCTCTGAGGTCTATTAGTCATGATTTTGGACAAGAAGCAGCCACATGTTTAAATATCTCAAAATAATTGCCATTTTGTTGGCTGGGCTGGTCAGTTTAGACAAACAGAAAAAGTTCTGGATATAATTTACATTTTGTTTAATTTCTTAGCTCCAAGATAGTTCGATCGATCCCTTAAGCCAAAGTAACATGAGGATTAGCTTCACCATGTTATTGTGTAACTAACATGTCAAAATCAATATATAGAGCCTCGCAGCAAATAATTGTATTGCGCACTTGAGAAGATCATTAGATCCCATGGGTGAATGAATAGTGTGAAATTGTGAGCACCAAGCACTTAAGTTGATGAACACAGAAAGGGGTCCTTTGACAAAAGAAAAGATCAGATATTAGTTCACCAGCTTCCTTAAAATTCTGTTGGCCTAATGGTTATTGGTGTGATTACTCTGAAATTGTGACTCTTTGCTTTGGTTCTACCTAAATGGGAATTGGTGACATGGAAAGGGAATGGATTGTTTAAGACTAAATCGTTGTGAGGCAGGTGATCCGAGCACATGCATGTTATTGGAGAACAGGCTACACGCTTTTAAAGTTGTGATTGCAAAAAGCAGTGACACTCACTTTAATATCACAAGGCTGGAGCTTAAGTAGCCACTTGGTTTCTTTTCAATCAGTGCCCAATGGAGTGTGTGGTGGAGTCTGTTTGGTGATTTGGTCAATAGAGCCACATGTTTCCCACCTCACATCAGGTGGTATATGTTTGTTATTGGATACCGAATAGCTTAATTCATCATGTTTGTTTACAAAATTACAACACAAGCATTCTGGTAAAAGAGAGGTTTGTTAAAAGATGGAATGCTAGAATGTGGAAACCATTTTTTGTTAATTTTGTTCATTTTCTTGTTTACAAAAAGAATCTACTGCAGCTTTGGTTTTTTTTTTTCTTTAGCAGGAAATAACCTATTTGTACAAGAGCAGTCAGACTGTAAAGTTGCAGGCCTGACAAATAGCCTTCACTAGACTAATTGCAAGCAGGAAATGAATGATGATTGTGTGTGTGTTTGTTCAGAATTGTGTAAAATCAACGTTAGAAACTTTAAAAGAACAGTTAAACTAAAAAAAAGTTTTTTAGTCTAAAATTTGGGCATTATTTACTCAACCTTAATCTAATGAACCAAAACCATATGACTTTTTAACTTCTATGAAAAAGAAAATTAATTTCTAAAAAAGTCCTGCCCACTCGTTTCCACTGGCGATACTCCGAAATGAAAGTTCTGGAAAGCCCCCCACCCCCCCAAGAGATTTGAGAACTTGAATGGTATCATTTGCAGCATTTTTATAGTTTATATGACTTTTGTAGTCCATTTAAGAGCTTCAGCGGAGAGGAAGATGTGCCTCGCTTTAAGTCGTCTCTGCACAATAAACAGAGTTTAGAGTGTTATAACATATACATGCATCTTTAAACCACTAAACGAAGAGATTTGTGATCCTGAATCATTATTTATGGGTCCTGAATTATAGCTCATTCACCTGTGGGAGACCGAGACTGTAGCAGAGGCAGTGGTCAGAAAACCACATTGGAGGATTCTCCAAATGAACTCATTGCTCTGAAAGCTCCATCAAAATAAGCCTTTGCATTACAGTGGTAAACCTACGGAAATGAATGCAACCAAATTACTAGGTTTCCTACCAACTCTCATACAGCCATATTGCTTGAAATATTGTGTGATCTTTGTTGATGCTTTTTTCTTTCAACAACAAGCTTTTTCCTCCCAGTGTCCATATATGTGCTGGGTGAATAAACTGAGAATGGGACTGCTCTGGTCAACAGTATGCTTTCTCAGTGGAGCAACTTTAGTGGCTGCCAAAGAAAACAAGTTCCTTCAGTGAGCGGGTGGTGGTTGGGCTGCAACTTTAGAGAGCATGTGATTACCATCTGAAAAGCGGCTCTCTTCTGCGATGCTGGATTCTTTCCAGCACTCTCACAGCAAACAACACAGTGCCTGGTGTTGATCCTGGGTGTCTTATCAGACTGGACACTGCATGTTTTGTTTTTTTTCAGACTTCCCTGAACCTCCCGAGGATTGATAGTTTTTAAATGGTACAATATCTGATTGGCTCGACATACAGTAGCATTGGCTCGACATTTAACTTAGTAGCTGGTGTTCAGTGACTAACACACTTTTTAAGCAAAAACAAAAAGTGGTTCAACTATTTCCCCCTTAGTGATATGCTTAAGCCATTAAAAATACATTATTGTTGTGTTTTCTGTTTAAAAATGAAAGAGGTGGCAATTTAATGGTAAAATGGTTTTGGTTGAATGTAGATGAACTATAAAATCAGTCATCTGGAAATTGTGTTCAAAAGGGCCATCCGTGAATAGTTCCTCTTTCATTGCTAAGCAGCAATAATAGCCTTTTCCATTAGAAGCTTTAAATCACCGGACTCTTGCATGTCGTGGCCACCTGTGAGGGTTTGGAATGAGATTTGCTGGCATTTTTATGCAAATTAGTGGTTTAATGAAAAATCCCTGAATATCAGTGAGGAGGAGTGGCCAAGAATGGATTATGTGTTTCTCAGCAATAATAGGTTAGGTTGTCCTCACTAGCTGATTGAAGATGCTCTGATGTTTGCCGTAGCTCGATACCAGACATACCAGATCAGAAATGGCTTCTCTCAATTA